AAAATCTTAAATAAATATCACTAGGTCATACCCTGGGGTTACTTGTAGAAGAGGAATGGTTTCAGATAACAGACAAGCACTGGTAATCTGGTATGGATGCAACTCATTAAATATAATTGTGAAAGTCTTTCATGTTACAGTCAATATAATCATCTCCGCAAACAAGAATGCATTTCCCGATGTACAGTATTACTCCAAAGAACCGTAAGCTGTAATGCCATGAAGCAAAAACTGAAATGTTTTGTCTCTTTCAAATGATAAATTCTTCATTCCTGTTAGTTCTTGGCAGCTCCATTCATCCATTTTCTAATCAATTCCTCTCATTACAAGACGAGCCGGAACCAATCCCTGTAAGCAACAGGATCAAGACGGGATACGCCCTGGCAGGGAAGCCAGTCCATTGCAGGGCACTTACAGAGACGAACATGAACACGCCTTTCTAAGAAACCACTTAAATTTTCTCAGAAACCACTTGTTACGTCCCGGAGTGTGGTCTTTGTGTTTTGTTGTTCCACACTTCTGACTGTTGATTGTTCTCCCTTCCCCATTGGCCCACCATTACACCACAGTTCCGTATGACATCATCATCAATCAGCCTCTCAGCCAATCAGAGTGCATCTTATTCAGTATATAACATGGAGGTTTTCAGGAAGGAGAGGCCTTTCTTTTTACTTCGGTCCCGCTTGGTTTTGCTTTGCTTCATTTCGCTTTGGTTATCGCTTCGTTTTGCTTTTGCTTCAGCTTTGTTGGTTTGTTGTTTTTTTTTGTGTGTGTGTATTTTCTTATATCTTTGGTTTTGTTGGTTTCTCTTCGTTTCTTTGTACTTCTGTTTGTTTGTGTTTATCCTTGTTTTGCCATTACCTTGCCCTAACGTGTAACATGTTCAACCTTTGTGTTCTTTTGTACCCTGTTCCTGTTGATTACTCTTGTTTTCTCTTATTTGTATTCCTAGTTCACTTGTGTTTTTGTGTGAACTTTTGTGTATAAGGTTAGTTTAGGTTGTTGGGTACATTCTACACACTTAGTTGATTTTTTATTAGTAACACTAGTTTAGTACGGGTGAGTGCTGTTTGTCTTGTATGGTTTTGAGGAGTCAGTGGAGGTTAGCTAGGGTGTTGAGGATGCCGAAGACCGTGCATTTCGGATTTTCTTTTGTAGTCAGGTTAGCTTTTCCTCACTGTCCTAGCCAGCTCCATTTTGTTTGTTATTTTTTTTTCTATGGCACCACTCTAGTTCCTTACCTTTATCACACTTCCTAGTCCCTCACCAGAACCCACCTGCTTCCAAAAAAATTATCCTAAATGTTACTATCCTTAACCCCTAGACAATTGGGGTCGTATCACCACTTAAACTACCAGTTGGTTCTTGGCCTGTGAGAGGAAACTGGAGCACAGGGAGGAAACCTACACAAACACGGGGAGAGCATACAAAATTCCCCACAGATAGCTCTCCAGGTCCAGAACTGAACCCAGAGCCCCAGCGCGGCGAGCCAGCAATACTAATCACTGTGCCACCATGCCACCGCCTGCCAGCTCTTTCACTGCTTTTATTTTCATGTCAACAACATACAGTATGCCTACTTGTCATCATTTCTCAACATATGCACAAAGAGGGATGAGCATTTTGTTAACTGTGGGGATTTGAGAGGGAAAAGGCTAAAGATCACTGCGTGATGCACATGTGTTATCCCTGGTACACAATCACATTTTAATGCATAAAGCACAAGGAAAACAGCAAATGCAAAAATTCTCATAATAACAGCAAAATATCTTCTTTAATTGACTATTTCCCTTTTCTCTTATTTCATGTTCCTGTCATTGATATTTGTTTTAAATTTACATGGCATTCAGCCAGTAGAAATTTCATTTTTTTGCAATTCAATAAAGATTGCTCACTTGCCTCAATTAATTTAGTCTTTTGTCAACAGTACAAATCTGACTTTGAGTTCTCAGAATGAAACAGATACTGACCAAATACTTAGCATGAGAAAAAGGAAAAAAAACAGCAATCTGATCAAAGAAATGTGACTAAGTTCTGTCAAATGAAATTGTGAAATAATGGGCCTATGTATTTACTAACTAAACATAAAATGTGCATCTTGTGCCAGGAAATTATGGTGTAATAATTCCAAAGAAATAGTTTCAAAATAACCTCTTAAGTTCTTTCTCTGTATTTGTTCCGAGTTCTGTTATATTATAATTTAATTAATTCTAATCACTTTGAAATGGGACTTCCCATAAAGGTCTTAGGAAATATGTATGTACATTTGTTTGAATATACATATAATATTGTGCACTGTAATATGAAATAAAAAATACTAAATCTTATAGTTATTCTAATTTATTCTAAGTATGTATGTTCATCTTAAGCTTGCTGTTTTTAACTTAGTAGGCCTATTTCTTGTTCTCAAGATTTGTTTGGACTAGCTTAGCTGCAAAGGTCCTGGCGTACATTTAAGGGTTGGATTCTTTCACACAATTACAGTTGCTGTCAGCATCTTTTGTAAGAGAACAAAATCTTATCAACTATGCTCTTTTGCTTTAACACCCTGGCACCGAAAGACTGTATGATTACACTTGTGACTTATCAGTGGATTCATAACAGAAATTACTCGTAGCAATATGGCGATTTCACAAGTGACACCAATCTTACAGATGAATTTTATGACATTTTGCTGCCAAGCACAGACTGAAAACATGAACACAACAAACAAAAATAATCAGTACTAAGCTTCCATGTTGTCTCAAGGATACCCAAATTCTCAGTGAGACCAGCATGTAACTAAGATAATTAGAGCTGCTTAAAGAAAACCAAATCATTTAAAAAATCTAAAAGGCACATATAGTATAGGTCAAGTAACAAAGAAATAGGTCAAAATAGATCAAGTAACAAGGAAAGTCAAAAAGAAAGCACATCATACTTCACACAGAACACAGTTTACTATTAATGTACAAAAAGTATAATAATACTGTAGCACTTTACTCTTTTCCATTACAGCCTTTTTAAAAATCCCATTTCTTCTTTTTATCTGTCTGTTAAACATTATCTAAGCTTTCCTTAAAGTAATCCTTCTAAGTTGTAGGAGATGTACTTATAAGTACTGTAAACAAGTGGTACAGATACTATATATTGGTACTCAAAGTTTTGCAGCTTCAAGCTGAATGGTTACAAGAAAGCCTGCAATGAGAATGTGCAAATATGCTTCTGAAAAAATTAACAGTCAATGGCCAAGTTTGGAGAACAGGGAAGTACTTCCACTTTTTTCCCTCTCTTTTCTTGAACACTCCCGTATACTGATGTTAAATCATCCTTAGAGCAGTCCAGAAATCCACAGAAATATAGTAGAAGCATTCAGCCATTACCAATGTGAATTTGAACTGAGGATATGAGCTGATATGAGACTACTGCCCATTTATGTGTGACTAATGTCCACTTATGCGTGGGTATCAACCACTTACATGAGATTATTGGCACCTGAGTGAGTTTGAAGGGCAAGAGGACAGCTATAAAATGCCACTTTTCTGCTGTCCAATTCTTCACTTTGTTCAAATTGCCCTCTTATATGATACCTTGAATAAATTTTAAAATGTGACTCCAGAACATGCTTGACTGGACACTGTTGCATAGCCTTCTTTAGCGTTGCAAGTACTTGAGAAGGCAGCACATTCCAAGAGTATATTTTAAAAAACAATGTCTTATTCCTTATTTACAAAGTACTGAAAACATACAACTGAGAAACATTGCATGAATTTTAAAATACATTCCAGCTATACCATTCTTTTTTGTGATGAAATTATGATGAAAACTTTTTACCTACACAACATCTCTGTAGGACCAGCTTACACTTGGTTGCAGACACTTCTTGTACAGTACACTGACAGACAAAAACAAGTGCACATTGAATAGACAATGGTGAAGAAAGGGAAAAGGTAAGAATAAAAACAGAAGTAAAACTCCAGGAAAGAGGTGAAAAGGAAAATTGGGGGACGATGCATTTCTTTTAACTTTCCAGTGGCATGTCACCATTTCACTCTTTGTTTCATTTTTTAAAATAGACTTTTCAGTTTGAAGTTTCAGTACCACTTGGTCTGCATATAGATTGCATTGTCAGAGTTGAATAATATAATACAGGTGCTTAACCCATATCTGGTATTTGTAAACATTACTAATTAACCTGTATTAGAGTTTTTCATAAGGAGCTATTTTGCCAAGATGTAAAAACCACTCATCAAAAGAAGGTTCACATTTGTAGTCCCTCACTATCAGTTTTCTTCCAAATTAAAGCAGTCAGGATCCAGCTGGCATCCTGGGTGGAGACCTGAAGTAGGGAATAAATCTCCTAGAACATAACATTCTAACCAACATTCCTGAATTTCTGGGCCACCTCCACAGAGCATGTTCTGTACTTGCACAGCTATCAGCATTGTGACATTGAAGGCCAACATTTAGCCATTTATTTATAAATTTCCTTTAAGTAACTGTAAATGCTTCTTCTCACCTTAATTAACCATGGCTAGGTGTGCGTTTTCAGCATTCCTCCTACAGGCTGAGCAGTGATAAGAGGTAATAAGCTGGTGTTGACACGAGATCTTGGTTGCCTAAGTAATTAACCTGTAGAAGTTAACTGTATACAGCTGAGGGTAGAATTCAGTTTGGAGACAAAGGAGCAGAGATAACACTGATCTACTGGTATACAGATATAGGAAGGAACAGGGGCACAGAGGGAACAGCACAGATATGGAGCTATTATGTCAGGATTGACAGGGAATAGATTGAGAGAGAACAGATGAAATGAAGAACTGACAGAGGTAAAAAAAGGAAATCTGTAACATAGGCAAGAAGGCTGGTTAGACAGACGTTGGGTGAATCAGAAGATATAGTTCCAGTACAAACAAATTCCAGTCCCTTATCTTTTTGTCCTTCCTCTTTTGTTCCACACCTGTCATACAGATGATAGTTCTTTTTTTCCTTGTTTTGCTCCTTTTTTTGTTTTTGTCTCCTATGTCTGACACCTTGTGTAATACCTTAATCAACTCCAGTCCTGAAGAGCTGAGGAGTACTCAGATTGTGGTCCCAAATGATCCCAAATGAATACCTAATTTTACAGAATCCTGACTAAATTCTACTATGATCTTGTGCAATCTGGACTTCTTAAAGTAAAGGGTTCCTTAACCTAAAAAAACTGAACTGGGGCTCTTCAGAATCAGGGTTATCTACAAATACCTGTAACTCTATTTCTCCCAAAGTCACTAAAGTAACTTATCTCCTTATTTTTGTATTTAACACCATAATTTATCAACTCTATTGCTGCAGTAACCAAGTTCTTACAAAACACTTAAAAAATGCATTTCAGTAGATTCAAAATAATACAGAAAAATTATTCCAGGTTCAGGCTACAGATCAGAAAGCACTGTATAGAGCTTTCTCACGTTTTTTAAGAGCTTCTCAAAATCAACACATTTAGAATAATCTCAAATTGGCACTTGCAGTGAAGATGACAATCCATCACAGAGATCTGCATTGTTACTTTTTTTGCAATCTTTACATGTGAAAAATCCTGAAGCAAAATTAACTGATTTTTGTTTAATGTATAATATAACCTTAATTACATTTTGCAGCTAGATGGAGGCAAATTTGTAAGTGTACCTGGTGATATGATGTAGAAAAAATCTTTAAATTCATCCATCCAGACTTCCGCAAGCCTTCTGTTGTTTTTGTTGATGACTTGGCCAGTGCCTCCAGGGAAACTGTATGGGGTTGCTTTGCGGAATACATGTCCCACATGTGAACAAGTAACAATTTCCAAAGATCCTCCACACTGCCAAATCTAGAAAAAAGATACCAATTACAGTATATTCAAAAATGAATCTCATGAACAGAAACTGTGAAACATTAATGGAATTTCCCAAGTCAATTATTTCATTTAGCCTTAAAGAATTTCCAGACACAATATTTAAAGAAAGCTATTTAGTGGACTCTCTGAGAATAAATTTAAAAAGATAACAATCAAACAAAAAGAGGAAAGGGTATAGGACATTCGTGTACTGTAATTCTGTTGAGAAGCTGAAATTTATTTTTACTTTTTTAATCAAAATTTGCCATGTGTTTCTATATCATGACAAGCCTTCGAAATTACTTAAACAGACTTGGTAACAAAATCTTTACTTCTGGTATGGAAAAAATATCCCTTGGAAATGCCCATGACATTCAGGGAACAACTGAAAACTGCCTTTCTTCGAGCTAAATATCACTGTGTTACTTTTTGAATTAATTTGTTCCAGCACTTAAATAAAGTTCTACCTTCAACAGACATTAAAGCAATAAGCTGTAGTTACCCTGAAAGACATTTCTAAGTTCTCTCCACCCCAAATATCCATTCCCGGATCGTATGTTCCAATTTCTTCAAAATAATCTCTGTCAATTGAGAATAGCCCACCAGCCATTGTAGGGGTCCTACATGAAAGGAAATAGTAAAAGTACTTTGAAAGTCTAAAAATAAAAAAAATGCATTACACTTCAGACATGCAATATAAGCTGAAACTGAATAAGGCTAAAACACTAATATCAGGAAATGGTAGCCATTTATTTGAAGTTTGATTTGAATACTTTTTTTCCCATTTATTTTAATTAGTTTACATCACTTGCCCAAAAAGTTTATTCAAATCCCAGTATTAATGTCAGATTAACTTATTACAAAATATGAATCGGGCAACATAACGGTAAAAAATGCAATATACTGTATATACAGTATGTATAATACAATTTTACATCCTACACAAAGATTCAAGCATGACTTGTCAGCAAATTTAGTATGTATAATTTGGTACTGTCATGTTTAAAAAAGGCAGGAAATTGACACTGCAGACTACACTGGAGACTGATATAAATGTAGCATTCTTTTTCTAATGACTCATTTTAAAGGGTTTATGGCACTTTCTAGCACATTGTATTTCTAAAGTGGATAAACCACTTTAATTGCAGGTAAAATAAGATTTTCATAAAACATATTTTTCATGACAGTGAAGATAAACTCAGGGATTTGTGGGGCTTTTGAAAATTTGATTTTATCAGCTACCAAATACAATTACAGTATCTGTAAAGCATTGTTATGAAGTTCATCAACACTTTCACGGTAATCTGGTCATATGGGTGCCTAGTAACCTTCCTGCTGCATAATGTACTGTATAAGAATACAATATGCTGCAAAAATGTTTCATTATTCATCTAATTTATTTTTGTGTCATTAATTTCAGTTAATTTACATTTTAGAATACTAGTCTGTGAATAACATCTGATACTGTAAGTAATTTTTTTCACAGAGCTCATATACCAAGTCATTGTACAATAATTCATGAAAGCACTTATAGTTCACCTGTTTCTTAATAATTTTAAGAATCTTTATAAAAATCTTTATAAAAAATTGAAAGCTGTTTCTGACACACTAAAAGATGCGTCCAGAGATGAACACATGCTCTTAAGATTATTTTCCTGTTTTCTGTCGATGTTCAGCGTGCACCATTCTCACCTCACCTGGAAAGGCCGCTAAGAAGATGAATTAACAATGCATTCCGTGTTGATTTATTAAGAAAACTACTATCTTATTACATTGTTAAGAAGGAAACTATTATCTTCATTCAATAACACACGTAACATACACAACAGCAAAAAAAGCAGAAAACAAAAGAACACAAAAAAACTGACTTAATGAAACCAAGAGATAAACTTAGATTATTTATTAACTGTAGATTAAAATTTTAATGAAAAGATTAAATATAGAAAATGCTGACAGTCATGTCTTGTGTAGTGAGTTCACAGCTGTGCTGAACTTGAGATAGACCAATCACCCATTGAGTCTGGTCTAAGGCCTGAATCAACAGATTTCAGATTAAAAGATGGACTATCCTTATGCAATAAATCCCTAAAACAATCTGTAGCAGTCAGAGCATTATACATGAACAGGAGATCCTTGAAGACCACTTTACATTTTACTGGGAGAAAGAGAAATTTTAAAGTACTTTTAATGCCACATAAGCCGCAGAATTATTGATATACAGTACTGAAGCCTGTTTAGTACACCAGTAAGAAAGGCTTCAAAGAAGTCTAGTCTTGATGAAAGGCATGTAAAAATACTCACAATAATATCTACAGTACACAGGAATCAACTTTTTCAGTTTCATTATGGTAAATATCTTGCATCTGTCTCTGTAATCTCTGGGAATTTAAATGTGTTTAAAAATCTTAACAGTTTTTCAAATGATACCGGTAGAATGGCTCATCCACATTATACACCATGATGCCACTTGCTACTTGCCTGACTGGTAAAGTTCTGTCTCCTTTTCGTCTGTCCATTTCTCTCTGTGGAACAGGGTACCATCGAAAATTCAGCTTCCAATTGAAACCACCGTACGTCATATCAGATCCAGCCATGTATTCAAATGTGTCATCACTAATGACATCAATGATGGGACAAACTACTGTTTTCCTGTTGAATAAAATTAGAAATTCAACTAGTTTCTATTTTTCAAATGTAATTGATGAGAAAACATCCTTGTAGTTTAAAAATCCAGTTCCTCAGATGCACTGTCATAACAAATCCATTATTGTTATGATAGTTTATATAGCCACCTTGAAAAAAGTTCCACATAAGAAGTCCAACGAAGCAGCATAATTTATTATTTTTTCAACTGTTTGACGGGTCACACAACTGTGCAAGGTGAATTGAGGCTTCTAAGCAACCAGTAAATTAATTCTAAAAAAAGGATCCATCCATGCATTTTTAGAAACCAGCTTATCCCTGGTGAGGGTGCAACAATCCTGGGTCTACCCCACAAGCATAGGGTTCATGTCAGGACTGCATCTTGGATGGCATGCCACTCCATTACAAAGCACACATGCACCAGGAAACTTCAGAAACAATCATGTCCTTGGAAGTTGTGAGGAAACCAACATACCCAGGAAAACCCCAGACGAATCAGGGCAGAATATGAAAAGTCCACACAGAGTGGACTATTCAAACTCAGGACTGAACACATGGAGTGAGAGGCAGCAATGCTCTCTACCAGCCACTACATTGCCACCCTGAAAAATGTCTTTTATCAATCTAAAATGGCTTATATTGTTTTTCTAACAGTATAATATTGTTATACGAATATATAACAATAATATTTTATGAATTAAGGCTACATCACATTTAATGTCCAATACCAAAAAATCAAAAAACAAAAGAACATTCTTAAACCAAGATTCTCAATTTTTTTCCCATCATAACTAAAGCAAATACTTTGTAAACTTAAATTTCTCATAAAGCTAAACTGCTGGCATGGCAAAAACAGGAACACTTTATCATAATACTCTCAGAATAAACCATTTACAAAGGTAATAGCCCAAGACTATTTTTCATGAATTAAAAAAAAAATTATGAAAACATGTTTATGCTGAGCAGACAGATTCTACGAGTAGCTGTGATTTTGCTCTTTATAATGAGCACAAGTAGCATAAAAATGTTATACATTATTGATTTGAAAATACCATAGAATGCAAATACAGTACATCTAATACTGTAGGTCACAATATAAAACATTTGGAGAGCCACTGAAAGGTTTAATTACCTTTAGTCAAAGAGAATGTGCAATTATAATAAATATGAATATGCTGTGATACATGTCACAAAAGGATAAGTCATTTTCTTAAGCTATGATTAAAAAAAGTATAATAGGTAAGAAGACAGCAGCTGAGCAGGGTGAAAAATAAAAATGGAAGATTGCACCACACGCCGGAGCTCATATAAACAGGGGAAGTTAACTCGTATAACAAAAAAATAGGTATGCACTGTATATGTATTGCTAATTTTCGTGAATATTTATGATCAAGGTGCTCATATAACAAGAGATGAGTATAATACAAACGGATAAAATATAAAAAAACAGCACGCATAAAGGAATAAAATAAGTTGCAAAAAAATATTAACACTAAACCTAAAGAAAGAAAGATGGAAAAAATATTCGGAACAGAAGATTTCTTGTATAGATTTTTCTTGGCCATAGGCATTCTAAAACACCTCCCGGAAGGTAGCAGTTGATAATGTATGTTATTACTCACCTGTCTTCCTTAATTCTCGCCAACAGTGGTTCCAGCCAGCCCACTGTACACTCGCAGTGGGCATCCAGGAAAGTTATGACCTGACCTCTTGTGGCTGCCGCCCCTCGGAGTCTGGCGCGAATAAGCCCTGACCTCTGCTCCATTCTCAAAATTCTTACAGGCACTTCCAAACCGTGCACATAACTTTCTAATCGCTCCTTTAAGAAATCTGCAATCAACGACAGACCACATATTTTTTATTAATTCCTTATGGATGTTCACGTTTTATAGCCAGAGTACTGTACGGATTTAGTGCACTGTTCATCCCGTATAAACAAATTATATTTATGGTTCAAACACAATGACACAGCCCGATAGATTACAGAATGATACGATCAAACACTGTGCATCTGTATTCTACATATATTTGGTTATAAAAAATAAAAAATATATTAGCTTAATATTATCAGTTTTCTAACAGAAAAAGTTTAAGTGAATTTGTATTTCAGTAAAACATCAATAAGAGTAGGTGAGTTTTTCTCTGCAGCATTCCCACTACATGCAAATGAACATCTACTCACCTCTTTCACTAGCATCATCCACCAGCAGGATCTCTAACAGTAAATGTCGTGGAGATCTGCTTATCACACTGTGGACTGTTCGAAGGAGGGTGCTCCAGGCCTCATTGTGAAACACTATGACAACACTTGTGTTGGGCAAGTCATCAGGATATACCTTTGTCTTGCAGCTGCAAAACAGATAAAATACGCAACAGATACATAGACAGATAACAAGGTACTGTAGCACCTTCTTCAAGGTGTGTCGGACGACACAAATTCTGAAGTATTCAGTATCTAATTTTCCAAGCATCAGGCCAATATATCATGGTATTGGCTACTTTCCATGAAATTATGAAACTGAACTAATAACAAATAGGAAATTGAATCTTTAAAGCTGCTGGTTTTTTTTCAGAGTAGCTGTGAGTGGTAAGCACTCACGCCAATGTTGTTCAGTCCTCCTGAATTATCTTTGAATCGGAAATCATAAGGATGACAGAATGAGGACAGCAGAAAATACACACAAAAAACAACTTATTATACTACAACTTAGAATATTCTACAGTACATTATTCAACTTTAGTAGACCTATCATTTCATTCTCACACAAAGAATTACATAACCTGCCTATTATTTATGCTAATATTGTCACTCGTGTTCACAATACCTTTATAAAACAGCTTTGATCCTAAGTATTTTCTAAGACTGAGCAACCATTTTCACTAAATTAACATAATCTGTGATGAGCAGTTGTCGTCAGATACAAAAAAATCACTCCAGATAATCCCATGGATAACATTCATTAGAATTACATGTATGTATGCCATACATTCCTAGCTGTGTTAAATTTTGAAACCACGCAATATCTTCCATTATGCCATGCTCAAATTGTCAACATAGAGTCCAGACATTAATCTGATTTTGTCCGTTTGTGTTTAACCAAAGTATGATATTGAACTTTGTAATGTATTTGCACATTTTGCTACATGCATGTGTTAAAATGACTATTTCACAGTATGTTTTAACTGCAATATTACGATACAGTTGTATCAATATGGCAATCAAAAGTTTATGTTTCCCTGAAATAAATAACTTTTGAATAGCACTGGATATATATACAGTTGTATATGATTCCTCTCAGTCAACTTTTACAATTCAAGGAAATGCATTGTTTTCAGGTTTCCCCTTAAAACCCAAAGGGGGCAGCCTGAGATCCACAGAAAATCCCTCCGTTCAATTTCTTTTTCAGTCTGGAACTACCCAAGACTGTCAGCACAGAAATACAGATGATTGATAACAAACTGCTGTAAACCATAGATGTTGCCCTGTTAACTAAAAAAGGCTGTCTCTGTGAACTAAAAGATACCAATACACATTATAAAAAGGTCATTTTAACTTACAGAACTCTGTACTCTCTCCTTTTTAAGCAATATTATTTAAGGTCAATTGAGTATCTTGCACTACAAGCCCAGTGAACAGTGTCTGTCGCTCTTTATCCGTCTCTGAATAGATGCAGGTAGACTTACCCTTCCAACCTCACATCTGGTAGACTTCTATTGAGTGCAATCATATCGCTGGCCATGAGGTTAAACTGGTTGATTTTAAAAAGCTCCTTCATTTTTTCTTGGTCCTCCTTGGGTATAACAACTGGTTTTCCCATTTCTCCAGGGCCCTCGTGTGTTCTTGATATGACAGCTGAAACAAAAGAAACAGTTAAGAACACAGAAAGATTATTAATCTACGCGAGATTCTTTGTCATACGAGAATGGTGTGGGTTTTCTCATGGACTCAGCACAGGATTGCATTTATTTAGGTACAGTAAATAAAAGCTAAATAAAATAAAAATCTCTCTTCACAAAAGTACAATGTTATATGTACAGTATGCTGCAGATGTCTTTTGTTAAACAAGACAGATCATTGAGCTTTTAAATTTATGACAATAAAACTGAAATTAAGAGAATACTGTACCACTATTTTAAAAAGTATCCCTCATCAAGTATTTTGGAACACAAAAACAAGGGATATGTGAAACAGCTATTGCAGAAATACATCCCAGAATGACATGATGCATTAATTTCCTTTTATTAATTTGTCTTGTTTCTCGTGCTGATAATTGTGTTCTCCATTTGTACTTACTTGCGCATTTTGACCACCCAACATGGCTAAATCACATTTTAAATTTTAAAATGATCACATTTTACTCTTGACATAATTCTCTTGGCAATACCGATTATAAGAAATATGGATTTTTATTCATGATGCATATCTTTTATAGCTGTTTTGAACATAAAATAAAAAATATAGAATTAACAAATGGGAAGTAAGCACAAAAATAGCTCACTGTCTCTTAGTCTCATTGTTTTTAATACTTCAAGAAAATAATAATAGTTGGAAGCCACTAACGTCCTCACTGTGTTTTTTGCATGTTCTCAAGAAGGCCTTTGTTAATCCACTTGATTAAGGTTTCTTCTGTGACTATGAGCAGAGGAACAGAGATCTTACCTCTTTTGACTAATTGTGTTACTTTCCTTCAAACCATGACCTTATCAAGTTACCTTTTTTCAATCTACGATGCAATTTTTCCCTTTTATGCTGTCGCCACCGAAGAAAAATGACTAAATCATAATAAACTAATTCTTTAAAGTTGCAGACAATCACACACAGTTGCAATACATGTTTCCATCAAAGTTAACACATTTCTATACAAAAGCTTTCAGATGACGTCAAATGTTTAAACAACTAATTTAAATGCTAACTATATACAGAATTTACTATCAAATGCTAATGCTAATATTTAGTGAATGAATAATCAAAAATCAAATTGCAGAACACTACATAGTGTTTTACAATTCAGTATCCTTTGCTGTTAAAAAAGTAGACTATCAAAAGCACATAATTTAAAACAAAACAACTATGAATCTTCATGGTATTGACTAAATTTACAACGTAAAACCTACGTTATACAGGAATTCTACCTGTTAGGAGATTATGCCTTACAGTATGTGTCTGGAGACCATTGATAGATTCCTAGCAAAATCAATTACTGAGCTACTTAGTTTCTGCACTATTTCCTGCAGACAAACAGTGGGTAAAACATTTATCAGCTTGACAACCCAGGGGAGTGTGGAAATAAAAAATGATGGTATCATCTCTACACGAGGGCAATGTAACATAATTTGCGCTGGCCTGCAAGTACAGGACCAGCCTGGAAACATAAGTACAGTAAAAACTTGTGCTCCTGCATGTTAACATTGTTGTGAAAATTACTGTCAGCAATTTGTGCAACGTTGCCTATTGTACATTTGCGTAATTAATTATGCACTTTGGCTTGAGTCTTGCATTTTAAAGTGGATGGCACTGTAAATAATAACTATCTTATGTTTTATTATCATTATAAAATTAAAATAGGAACACCTTATTTTCCAGCATTTGTGACTCTGAGTTCAAGATGCTTTTTAACTGGTTTATAAAGGCAGTTCCCCAGATTAGCCTACAATAATTCCACACAAATGTGACTATTTCATTATACAGTAACTCTGAAAGCTTAAACAGAAGACTAGAGCAGCCTCTATACATACTGTATGTAGAGGCACAGACATACTGAAACACTTTACTGAATGCTGGCATGGATCATACACTAAATTCACCTCCAATATTTACAAGGATTATACCAATTTTAATTTTAATTTTATTGCAATCACCACATTAATAATTGGCCATAAATCATAATGTTATTGTGATTTATAAAGGGTGTCTAACCTAAAGAAAAAGATATTTGAGCAATGTTATACAGCTAGAGAGAGATGTGATGTATTTCAAAACAACCCCATTTTCAAATTTGTAAAGTTAAAAAGTGCCAAAAAGGAGAACTGGAAAAACTGTAATTTAAAGCAATACAAACAATGCAGTGATACTTCTTCACTAAATGTACACAATATGTTTTCCAAATACTGTATGTCTGGGATTTGCATAAATAAATCAAACCTTGTTTCATACTGTATTTTTCTGAAGCATATAGCACTATTGTTTGTGAAAATATACAGTATATACAGTACAGTGTGTCAATGCATCTTATTACATTTCTGGGCTTTTGGACTGTAGATTAAATGTTTGTAAAACCCAGGTTGCATTGCTCTGAATTACAGTACAGTATGTTTCTTGTACTCACGGATCTCAATCTCTTTACAGCACACTTGCATCTTTCATTATTTCGGCACAAGTGTAGCCACTAATGTTATCTCTACTACAGTTATAGCCAGTTTCACTGGAAAGTGTCATTGGGTATAGATAATGGTTTTTAAGCTATGCTCCTCAAAGTCATGGTAAATTAACCTACATCTGACAACTGTTTTCCACGGGTAAAGCAGACGCAATTATTACAATTGAATTAATATTGTGTAACAGATTGTTCAGAAAGGATGCTCTCATTTAATCAACACCAAGTAAAATGTTAAATAAGCCTGTACTTTTTGCAAATGCATGCTAATGCATAACATCATTTCAAGCACCCATTTAGTTTTAACTAATTTTGACAAAAAAGAATCAACCTACTGTGCATAATCTATCCTTGGTTTGAAACCTTGGTTGGGCGTGTATCTGGCAAACATGAATATTTTTGGGGGAAAATAAGGTAACACAATACAACCACTTTACTTAGCTGTCTCTTGGTAAGATGCTGAAGGTTTTCTAAATCATTGTAAATTAGCAGCTTTATCCCAGATTCCTTATAAGAGAAATGCAAAATGAATGAACAGATTGCCAATTCCATTCCATTAATGAAAAGATGGCTATAATCAGTAGTGCAATTTGTATACCACATCTAAAACCAATGCTTGACTGAGAAACCTTTAAAGTTTTTTTTAATACCATATTTCTGTTAATATTGTTAATAAACTTTCTAAACAGCATTAATGGAAGGGAAAGAAAAACAACTGAAAAAGCATCTTCATTATTTCATTTCCAAACAAATATCCATGGATTTAAAAAAATATATCCTTTCAGACTTCAAGCAATTTTAATTTTAATTTATTAAGGTTTCTTTATAAAGAACCATTGTCCTTAGCAGCTATTTATTTGAGTTGAATAACATACTAGAGTGAAAACATGCAAGGATAAAACTATTTCCTAACAAATGCATGAAATGATATTTCAGCATCTGTAATATGAATGTTTTTGAAATTCGAAAGCATGCTCTCTGAAATTGTACTCATTTAGGTACTGTATGTGCAACACACATAAGAAGCAAAAAGAGAACAATAATGTGATCTTCTTCCACTGTAACTAAGTGCAATTTAACATATAGGGCATTTCATGTTCCATCCCAAACATTACATAATCATTATAGCCTAATAATATTTGGATCATTCCAAATATTATTTTCCATTCTTTAGCTACACAGTACCTTTAGGCTGGTTTTCATGTGCCATAAATTAAGACTAAGCTTTTTCATAAAAGTCAGCTTTGTGGAGATTATAATCTACATACTGTATTACTGTACAGTCAATCTTTTTAGACATTTTTATTAAAGTCTCCTCTTTGACATTTTGGAAAGTATGAATATTTTTTGAATATTATTATAAAGTATTTCTTCTTTGCACAAGATGTGCGCAGATTGTTTGCATGACTATATTTAAAATTATGTTATCTATTAATGTTTTCCATAAATATGAAATCTAGAAAGAAGCTGTGCCTTGCTGCAGTAACAGACCCCTTTTAGTGATCATTTTTCATTAAACTGACTACCTTTTACTCTAACTTACATTTTTATTACCATAACAACCAAAGTACAACCTCAACTAATTGTCAG